TTAATTCCCCATTGTGGCCCCGCCCAACCCCTGGGGGTCATGATTTTAACAATTTCAAATCTACACTACCCCAGGATGCTTCCAAATAAGTTTCAGCTTTTCTGGCCCAGTGGTTCTTGAGAAGAAGATTTTTTAATGACCCCACCCTATTTTTGTCTTTTCTTGATTATCTCCCCTTGTAAGGGGACTTGGCCCTTCATTTTCACAATTTAAATTCCCCTTCACCCAAGGATGCTTTGTACCAAGTTTGGTCAAAATTGGCCCAGTGGTTCTTGAGAAAATCGAAAATGTGAAAAGTTTACAGACGGACAGACAGACAGACGGACGGACGGCGGACAAAATGTGATCAGAAAAGCTCACCTGAGCCGAACTAAAAACTGATACAGAGAATTATGTATCTTAGTGTAGTCTACTTGTGTGCCAAGTTATATTGAAATCAGACTAAAACTGAAGGAGGAGTAGCATTTTAAATGTATTTCAAAGAAATTTCTATTTTTAGTAACAACAGCAACACTGTTCATTGAAACAAAAACCCATACAGAATTATTTATCTTAGTGTAGTCCATTTGTGTGCCAAGTTATATTGAAATCTGACCAAAACTGTAGGAGGAGTAGCATTTTGAAAGTATTTTTTAATTCTGTTTTTAGTAACTGTGAATGTTACAATGGGAACACCGTTCATCGAAATCAAAAACCGCTATATAGAATTATGTATTTTTGTGTAGTCTACTTGTGTGCCAAGTTATATTAAAATCAGATTTAAACTGTAGGAGGAGTAGCATTTTGAATGATTTTCACAAAAATTTTTATTTTTAGTAACAACGGCAACCCCGTTCTTTGAAATCAAAAACAGATATACAGAATTATGTATCTTTGTGTAGTCTACTTGTGTGCCAAGTTATATTGAAATCAGACCAAAACTGTAGGAGGAGTAGCATTTTGAAAAATTGTTACAGACGGACAGACAGACGGACGGATGACGGACGCATTACTATCGCATAAGCTCTTCTGGTCTCTGACCAGTAGAGCTAAAAATCATGAATATTCATAATGCAGCTGTATAAGGAGTCGGGGCCTAATTTATACGGGAAAATGTAACTTGTTATTGTGACGTCATCCTTGCAAACTAATGTGCACTAGCTGAGAGCTATCCACAGATCATGTAACTTTGTAACAGTGGAAATTGTTTATAAAACAAAAAAAAGTTTCTTGTAGATAAAAGTATTTTGTATCTAATTGATTCAAATGCAAACTTTAAGACAATTTATTGAATTTATTAATTTCATTTACATTCTAAGTAATTAATATTTCCTTTATTTCCATTTCCTTTATAATTGTATTGTTTGAATTAGAATTGCAGTTACTGGCTTTGAAAATGTCTAATTTTTGTTTTGGTATAATAAAACAGTTAAAGTATATCATTGAGGGAGTCAGCAAGATTACAGTTCCTCTCGATCAAGCCTATTTCCCTCGGCACAAGCGCCTCGGGAAATAGACTTGCTCTTGGGGAACTGGAATCTTGCTGACACCCTCAATGATGTACCTGGTACTTTAATTGTATATTAATATCGATCATCATATATTTCCATTTCCATTCGTTTTCTCTCTGATAACTCTTTGAAAGTTACGGTACTAGAGTTACCATGATTTCTTGAGCATTCTACAGCAATGTAAATCAATGAAGTTTCACCAAGCGATCAACGAGGAGTTAAGGATGCCTAATATGCATGTAAACCTTGTGCGTCTGTGTTTGTGTCTGAACACTAAGGAGGCCTTATATGCATGTATTAATCTTGCGCGGCTGTCTTTGTGTTTGACATCAGCTAGTGGGCGGGAACTATTGAAACTGACATGGGAGACCACATGTATTTCAAATCTATTACATCTTAATTTACAATTTTATTTCACAATGAAATGCAAATACAAGGAATCACTGTCAACTTTACAGAATATGCCAGGGCATCAATGATAGTTAGAAATGTGGTATAATTTGGGATAATCAACAGGCGTTGATGACCCTGGTAAACCGAACAAAGTAGTAGATTATAATTTAGAAAAAAAATTGTCCACTAAATTTAAATTACAAGAGGCCTTCCATGTCAATTTCAATAGACCATGCCCACTGACAATCGAGACACAAAGACAGGTGCACAAGATTTACATGCATATTAGGCCTAGGCCTCCTTAGTCCTGACCATTTGCTTGGCGAAATTTACATTCGGTAGAATTATCAAGAAATCCACTCAAACTTTCAAAGAGTTATCACAGAGCAAACAAACAGAAATAGCTAGAAATATTACAGAAACAAGTGCCTGTGCTCCTAAGATATGAATGCTGGTTTATATGCCAAAGTAAGCATATGACTGTAAACGTCAGTGCTTTTCACAATACATATATTTACATCCACTGAATAGTTTCTCCCTTATTTCTTAAGAAACCCATTGCGTTAATCACTGCATGAACTATAGTAGGCATGTCGCCTGTACAGATTTCTTGATCAGTGGCTGTTCCATCAATGAAACGTATAAAGACGTTCGCATCATTAATACAATAATTAATCTTTTAATCCTACTTTAAATGATATAAATATAAACAATAAAATGTCTTTCTTTGTTTGTTACTACTGGAATTAACAGTCGCAGTTATTGCAGAAAAAAATTACATAACCCGTGTAAGCAGATGTGTCTGAAGTAAGTGTATGGACAAGGACTACAGAAATTCGCGTGAAATGTCTAAAGTATTTTAATTCTATCATTAAGAACATCTTAAAATTACATATTACATAACAATTAAAATATTTTCAAACAACATATTTAATTATGATGCACATCAATGTCACACTAAATCTGCACAGAAATTAAGTCCAATCCTCGTGTCGTTGAAATGTTCACTATAAAGTATTAAAGCACACGATAAAAGAGGTTCACTTGAAAGCACATTTCACAGTATAAGTAATAACTTGGAAGTTCATGAAAGAGCACATATCACAGGGTGTTGCTAAAACGCGGAACGGAAAACGGAACGGAAAGCGGAACGGAACGGAAAACGGAATATATTATTTTGGACTAAATCACGTAAAATACACAAATTTTATCACAAACAATACATCTTATACAAATTCAATCCCCCACTATTAAATAAAAGTTGATTTAGTCATGCTCAGTCTCTTAATTAGGAAAATCGCTGACACAGCAGTGACGTAGATTCGAATTTGAAAGTGTGTGTGGAGGGGGGGTTTACTTAATAAGCATTTAACAAGCAAATTTAAAAAAAAATCAAAAGCAAAAACTCGGGAGGGGGATAAGTTCAAACTCCAACATCGCTCAGTACTATTTTTTACACAAACTTACTACATCAATTACAATATAAAAACAAAAAGTGTGAGGGTGTCAATGAACATTTCTTTAGTAAAAAGATAATGACAGGAAAAGAGTGGGGTTTTCTCTCAAATATTTGATATATAGTTGAACCATGGAAAGAGAAATAAAATGTAAAAAAAATAATAATAATTATCAAGATTATGTTTAGGGCAACCCCTTCCGGCAAGCTTGAATAAACATCTCTAATGTAACACTGGTTGTTATTTTATACAAAATAGAGTCGCATTCTATATATTTAAATTCTTTATTGATAAAGTTGGAATACTTATCTTTGATAGATTTAGGGTAGCAATCTTTACATTCAATGAAGTTAAAGTTTATTTGTATGCAGTACATGTGTGTGTGTGTGTGGTTTTCTTTATGCCAGGGCATGGTGGTGGTGAAATGTGGGGGGGGGGGGGGGGGTAAATGAATGACCCCGTAAAACATTTGATTTGTTTTTCCGCTCATCGGAAAGGTCTAAGAAAAAAAGCCCCCCCCCCCCCCCTTTTGTGTCCACATAATATTAATTTTAAATTTAAATTACATAAGGCCTTAATAATTCTTTAATGTGGCTGTGGGCCCCTACCCAGACCCCAAACTGCCCCTCCCCATTTCAAGACTCCCGGATTCGCCACTGCTTGCATAATCTGAACGTCAAAACTAGCTATTTTTGTCTGCAAACATTGGCGTCTGAAGCAAATTGAAAGGGGGGGGGGCTTAGTGGAAGAGAAAAAAATTTCAAACATACAAAAAGCAAAGAAAAAGGGAAATACGTCCTTTGCCCAAACATGAAAATCCTATTTCGTGCAAGAGAAACGTCGTGCTTTTTTCAGTACCAAATATTTTCCAAACACTATCACTTAACCTTCCTTGATCTAATCTGCGACGTGCCTGTTGAAAGTGTGTGTGGGGGGTGGGGGTGGGGTTACGCTCTAATGTTCATTGCCTATATTATGGTTACATTTGCAAAAAAGGAGGCTCTTTTAATCCGACGCTTTTGACAAATATTTATGAATGTACACACTAGTAGTCTTTTTTCCTTCTGCCTATTTCAAGAAATATCTCTTTTTAATGAATGAGCTTTCTTTTAGAAAAAAAAACAAACAATTTGTATGAAACGCTCAGATGAATTTAGGACCCTGAGTCTATTTAGTATGTATTTTATAGACCATCACTTGTACACCAGTTCTGAGCGGAGGGTGTGTATAATTCATGAATATATTATAGTTTACTATAAATTTTTATTAGATATGACTTTAACATCAAAAATATTGCTTTTATATCTGATTTATATCGAATCTATGTTATTTGTTTCACATAAATTTTCCGTTTTCCTTTCCGTTCCGTTTTCCGTTCCGCGTTTTAGCAACACCCCATATCACAGCACTATACACAATAACACTAAAGTTCATTAGTCACTGCATGGTCCTTAGATATTTCCGCACTCGCTGAGGAGCTGCTTTTATATCTGATTTATATATCTAATTTGTTTCACATAAATTTTCCGTTTTCCTTTCCGTTCCGTTTTCCGTTCCGCGTTTTAGGATACAGCACTCGCTGAGGAGCTGGGATACAGAGCGCTGCCCATACTCCTCCCAGGTCTGTTGTAAACCGCATTTCATCCTGCGCTGCCCTGGGCTTCTGGCTCTACCCCTAAGGTTTCTTTCAACTTCTTCAGAACCTAAAACAAGAGGCCCAGGGGCCACATCGCTCACCTGAGCAATTGGCTAGGAAAAATCACACATCAGATCAGAACTGAAAGTTTGATGAGGGATGGGGGGGGGCTTGAATTTTAACCCCCAGGGGGTCATGATTTGAACAAACATGAATCTACTATACCTGAGGATGATTCCCTATAAATATCACTAAACATGGCTTTAAAGTACTTGAAAACAAGATTTTAAAAAGGTTTCCCTAGATATTCCTATGTAAAACTTTTATCGGCCATTTTGGCCCCACCCTACCCCCGGGGGTCATGATTTGAACAAACTTGAATCTACACTACCTGGGGATGATTCCGCACGAGTTTCATCTTTACTGTCTCAATGGTTCTTGAGAAGATTTTTCCTATATATTCCTATGTAAAACTTTGATTGGCCATTTTAGCCCCACCCTACCCCTGGGGGTCATGATTTGAACAAACTTAAATCTACACTACCTGAGGATGATTCCGCATGAGTTTCATCTTTCCTAGTCCAGTGGTTCTTGAGAAGAAGATTTTTTAAAGATTTTTCCTATATATTCCTATGTTAAACTTTGATCAGCCATTTTGGCCCCAACCTACCCCAGGGGGTCATGATTTGCACAAGCTTGAATCTACACTACCTGAAGATGATTCCACATGAGTTTCATCTTTCCTGGTCCAGTGGTTCTTGAGAAGAAGATTTTAAAAGATTTTTCCTATATATTCCTATGTTAAACTTTGATCAGCCATTTTGGCCCCACCCTACCCCTGGGGGTCATGATTTGAACAAACTTAAATCTACACTACCTGAGGATGATTCCACATGAGTTTCATCTTTCCTGGCCCAGTGGTTCTTGAGAAGAAGATTTTTTAAAAATGCCATTAATTTTTTTCTAATTCATAATTATCTCCCCTTGGAATAGGGCGTGGCCCTTCATTTGAACAAACTTGAATCCCCTTTACCCAAGGATACTTTATAGCAAGTTTGGTTGAAATTGGCCCAGTGGTTCTTGAGAAGAAGATGAAAATGTGAAAAGTTTACAACAACGACGACAACGCCAACAACGACGACAACGCCAATGACAACGACAGACAACGGACAAATTTTGATCAGAAAAGCTCACTTGAGCCTTTGGCTCAGGTGAGCTAAAAAAGTAAGGAATTTTTTAAAATACAAATACTAGGTAAGATAACTTTTTTAGAGATGAAGTATCATGTATGCCATGATTAAATTTATATAATGTGAGGTATGGAAAACCGTAATTCTAAACTTTATAAGGAAGACTTTTTGATTTCATAAGCACAAAAAGGAGTGGCACCTGTCTGTTGCTTTCTCATCTCCTGATGGAGGCATGGATGGACCAAAGTTGGGTAGATGGCTGGGAGGTGGCCTCGAATGTTCCGTCACAATACCAGGGTAAGGCATAGCAGAGAAGAAGAAGCTGGTGAGGAAAACATCAAATGTCTCAGGTCATCAGTGTGCACATCCCCCACCAGGAAATCCTCAAGATATTGCATGTCTATCTTAAACATAATTATGAAACTCACTAGTTGTTTATAGTAATGTTTTAAATCATTCAGTTCTCAGAAAGGAAAATATAAATAATTAAAAAAAATTTTAATAAAATGTTCTAAGAATAACTTATTTTTATGAATTTAGTTAACACCTTAAAAGATGTCATTAAATAGATTAATATTTGGTAGATCATATTTAGTCTTCAACTCACCCCAAAGCCGAGGTCCTTTGGCTCCTCGGGGTGCATATCTGCTCGGACTTGGTTAGCTATTCTCCTAAGGTTGCAGATCTTAGGGAGGTCGTGGTCCTCTGGCGTGATGTTTTCTAGCATGACATCCTCCACAATACATCCTGACAGGCTTATGAATGTCTTGACAAGCTGTTGCTTTCACCTAAATTGAGATATATAAGATATTCAGTTAATCTAAGATTCATAATTGTAAATGACATTCAGATTTGGGTATTGAAAAGACCATTGTAACATTATTTAGAATATATTTTTTTAAGTTCCTGCAAACAGTTTTCTTCAAGGCTCCTTTGTCAGCTGGGTGGATATGCTCCCTCGAGTTTAGTCTGAAGGTGTTTCCTTTATGTGATACTGTTGCAGGACAGTTTATGGTTTCGGAATGCTTGGAGCATCACCAGTAGGTGAAGTCACCTTTGCTGCTCTGTAAAAATAAATTTTAATATACATTGAGGCTCAACTAATAAAATTTGATTTCAGTATAATAACTAGATGCTGTCATGAGACAGTAATACCCGCACTAAGGTGTTTGCCTCTAAATACACACTCGTACTACATATTAGGCTTAAAGCCTTCCAAGGAAAAGTCAAAATAATTCTATAATTTACACAGTACATGTATTCGTCACATTGAGTATAACTTTCTCAGACCCTGTGACTATGTGACCTATGACTCAGTGCCTCTTATATGTATTTTATATGCTTCATAGGCGTCAGAAGGAAATTGAAAGTGGGGACGGGAGGGGGCTAAACCAACCAAAAAAGTAAAGTTAACCCCAATTTTCAATACATAGAAAATGTCCATCTTTGCAAAAAAAAAAGGGGGGGGGGGTTAAGCCCCCCGGTTCAGACACCTATGTGTAAATTAGATTTTAAAAAATGTTTTGCTCATAATTGGTACCTTTTTGAATTTAATAATGCCCCCCCCCAAAAAAAAAAAACACCACACACAGTCACACACACACTCTCACGATCCGTACTTTTTTTTTTAATAGGATACACATGAAGATGGAAAAGTTATGTTAAAACATAGTTTGTTATGAATTTATTTTAAAATTTGTTCTTGAACTACCGTAAATCTGGAAATTTTTGCTGTAGATAAATTTTCAGCAAATTTGCAAATTCATTGCATTCGCAAAAATATTTGTCTTAAAAATAATTCAACAATACGAAAATGTAAACAAAGTAGTGGTCATTCGCAAAATTTTGAAACGTAAAAAATATAATCAACAGCATTTTGACCCGGAATCGCAAAATAAAATCAACGTAAAAATTTCCAGATTTACGGTATACATGTTTACATGTAAATTGCACCTTTTGGAAAATTTCTACATTACATTGGGTTGCGTCACCCATTATCAAATTTTTAGAATACGCACCACTCAGCACACCTCGGCCGATTCGTGCTTCATCTGCATTTAGCCAAGGTTTGTCAAACAGGATAGCATGCACATGCTGCAGTGTGATGTGTATTGACAAAATCATTTTGTGTTATAATTGGATTATATTTCATGAAGTTCTCAGGACCTATGACAGTTCTGAGTTGGTAAGTACAAGTTTAAGTATAGATTGGGGTAAAATGAACCGAAATGCAAAATTTAGATTAGGTTAAAGTTCAAAGATCATCGCATGCCACAGTATAGTCGGATTTTACATTTTGAAGTTATCTCCCGTTGTCGATGTGACATTCAGTTACAGGTGCAGATCCAGATTTTTTTCAGGAGGGGGGAGGGGGGTTCACACCTCAGTCAAAAAAATGTCAGCCCAGAATTTTCTCACAAGCAAAGACAAAAAACTGAAAACGAAATAAAAACAATGATAGTGGGTTCATGGAGTCAATGTTTTCCAAGGGGGATGATGTCCTAAGTAAATATTTATTTGCTTCAGTATATAGTCTTATTTAAATAAGAAAGCAAACTCGGGGGGGGGGGGGGGGGGTTCCAAACACCCAACCCACGCCCTGTTCGTGAAATTGCAATTGATCTTGTGACTCCAAAATAGAATTTTTTTTTCCATTTGACTATATGTCTGACTGTTTGTCTGCAGAAATTTGATCAGTAATTTGGCTTAAATTTTTTACCAGTAGGTGCTAGGGTTTTCATGCTTAACATGTGTATTCATTGTAAACTTTCAACAGGTATAAATATGTTTGACCTTGGGCCTAGAGTTAGACCCACTTAAAAAAAGGAATTAACCTTGGCAATTAACTTTTGAACAGGAAGTACTAGGGATTTCTTTATATTTCACATGTGTATTCATTGTGACAAGACTTTCTTTCGATACCAACAATTTTAACCCTTTGACCTTGACCTTTGAGTTTGACATACATTTGAGAAACTTCAACCTTCGCCATAAGCTGGCATACGTGGGCATCAGTGTTTAACAAACAGTACACCTTGTCTTCATTACTTTTAAGTGGCGGTGTCTCCATATGAGGGAAAAATTCCCGAGAGAGATGTTTTCACAACAAACAAACAAATTACTAAAAATAACATAAAACATGAACATGTTGGTTGTATCTCTTGTTCTCCATTGAATCAGAAATGATTACGGTAATTTTCGGATTATAGGTCGGTACTTTTTTTCTCAGAGCCGCTGAGGTCGACCAATATACGATTTCGACCTTTCTAAGGCTCAAGTTTACGAAAAATGCCCCAAAATCAATAAAATTTACGTCAATTTCAAAGCAAATCTGTGCCACTTTCATAACTTTTTTCATTATTTTACGCAGAAAAATTAGTGCCCAGGTAAACAATAAAATATTTATTCTATAGCTTTCTTACAAAATAAATTCCATTACATATCCGTTGATGACAAAGGAAAAAACTGCTTCATCAAAAAAATTAATTCCCCAGCGTGTTATCCAGTGCCATCATGCGGTAGCCATCTTGTGAAGTTACCTAGGAAGTCGCTACCGTTTACTAGAAGTAAAACCCCAACCGTATCAAAATTTAAAATACGGAAAAAATTTCAAGGTTTTACCATTTATTAGTAGATAAATTGAAATAGTATTAATTTTATTTATTGTGACAGTCTTATATTTATTTAAGTGTAAAATGAGTGAAATAAATATTTGCCAGTCAATTCCTAAATTTAATTACCAAATAAACCGATAGTCATTACTATATATTTTTTTATTTTATTTAATTATAATACCGGTCAAACGAATTAGCGCTATACAAAGATTGGTTTCTAACAGAATTTTAATTGTCTCACAGATAAAAGGATTTTCACTGTGTGTACACGCAAAGGTTTTAACACCTGTGTTGGTTTAATACCCGCAGGGCATGATTAGCAAATCCACGTGCCGTTATAGGGTATTAGTGTTACACATCATTGAACAAACAAAGCCATGAAATTCATAATGAAGGTCAAATTGTGAATGTACCGGTACTCTCAATTAAATATATAATTAAACTTATAGCGTGGTAATATTATTTCAATTCTTTACTGTTGTTTTATATATACATTCAATGGTCGTTTGCGGGTTTTAGCAAATCCCTGAAGAACAAAACTGAAAATGGCGGACATCGAAGCGATTGTCGTCCACCGGTAAATAATGTCTGAATAAAATATATTAGGAATGTGTCCAAGTTGTTCTGAAATCAGACTGATTATTCTTTGTTCTCGGGTATTTCCCGAATTATAGCTGTAAAATAAGAACGTATTTACGTGTTATTTATGCCTCTGGTTTAACAACAGTATGAAACTACGGAGGCATTGAACAGGCAAGTTGGAGAAAAATAAGTAGTACCCGTAACACAATTCAACGAAGTTTTAACTACATTTAAAAAAAAAAAACTTTATTTAAATGCTGTACTCATTAAAATACCTGTTTGTTTTCTTGATACGTTCATGTCACGGAATAACCCCGGTAATTCTAGAGGTTTACCTGTTCTGATACGTTGTATCTGCGTATGAATCTTTAGAAAACGGGAAACAAAGCCTCGTCCTATATAGTAAGTTCGTCCTAGCTTAGAATTTTTCAAAAATTAAGGCTGAAAATTAGCCTTTCGACCTATATACCCCATCGACCTATGACCCGAAAATTACGGTACATAAATATTTTATCAAAGGCCTGAAGGGCCACAATGGCGCCGCCCTTTAGATATGGCAGTGATACTGTGAAATAATTATATAGCTTAGTTGTACATGTATATCTAGATAAAATACCACGATTTCAGCATTTATGAAATAGAAGCATTCAACTTAATGGTCCAACTGAACAGCTTGAGAACAGGTTTTAATATGTAGTCACAAGTCTGTACCCCGGTAAAAGAGTATCAGGACCATACTTGCCAACACCCAAGATATATAAATCTGGGTCATTTGTGTACATGTATTAATTTATAATTCTTCTATTTAAAAAAAGGCTTTACTGAATTATTTACTTACAACATGTACAATGATGAAAAATTATTTATCAAATTGACATGTTAAATAAGAACATTGGTTTCATTGTCCAGCATTGACCTGAATTATGGTAAGTCTGCATTAAAAAAAAAAAGCCTTTTCGGTATGTGCTAACAGGGACCTACATCATGTATATACTAATATATTGTTTATATATAGGTCCCTGGTGCAATTTTAGAGGATTTGAAATTACTTTTCAATTATTTAATTAACCAGTGTAATGTGTACTAAATGTACAGTAAGATCTACACTGTTTTCGATCACTTTATTTTATGTAGTTGTTTTCCAAGATTCCTTGACATGTACATAAATATTGTTTCTCTTTCTCTTTGTTCAATTTGTTCCTGCTGGTCTTGATAACAATCTTGTTCTATCGGAAGCCATTTTAAATTTTGATTTGTCAAAACAATTAATTATTTACACCTCCACCGATAATTTACTGGCCTACTGAAACACATCATAGCCACAGGCATTGTTTACGTAGATCAAGCTTGGGTTGTAACTGGAAGTTAAAAATACAACCTAATTTACGAACCAAATCCGGAAATCGGGGATTCGGGCGATAAGCATGACTCACCGTGTCATAAAAAATAATCAGGTTAAGGGTCGAAAAGTAGTCTCGTTTTCCCCAGACTCTCGCTCTTGAGACTTTGCCCGAGCGGGCAAAGTCTCGAGAGCGAGAGTCTGGGGAAAACGAGACTAGTCGAAAAGTAACCCGACGAAAGTGGGTGAGTTGTCAACTATGTATAGGACTGTTGAAATTGTATGATTTTCAAGCAATTTATGGAATAAACGCAAAAAGTGGCATGTATATTCCTACGCCAGATACATGAAGGTCTTGGTTCGAGTACTATATTATTTGGCGCATGAAGAAAGCGGTGAACAGTCAGAGATTTCATCATAGCTATATGTGCGCCGATCTAAAGATCGACGCCATAAAAAATAATTACATGTATTATAAGATTTGAAAAGGTTGTGCATCTTAAAATTGACTAAGTTCTGTGGTTGAATTAGCTATAAAAGTTTACTAGCTTTATTTTGCTACTCAAAACACCTTGATTGTCTATATATAATTTTCAATGATACTGTTTTCTGAAATGTTCAGTTTTTTCAACAATGGATACATATGTCATACATTTTCAGATTCTCAAAAAATTGCATGAAAAAAAAGCTTTTCAAATACTGTAACCATGGTAACCTTTACAAAATACATGTGAATCCTATGTTTTTAGCTCATTTGAGCTTTTCAGGTTTTTTTTTATCACATTGCGTCTGTCGTCCATTTGTTTGTATGGAAACTTTACATTATTAACTCGTCTACAACCACTGGGCCAATTTTAACCAATTCACATTGAAATCAGTATATGTACATCTGTATGTCAGTCTGTCAATTTAACCTTGGTCATCACAGTCATATCTATTGAATGAGAAGGGACAAGGCATTTGTATTAAACATATGTATAATTAGTATTTACCTGTGACAGCGCCATGATTTTTTTTACCCATGACCTTGAAGTTTGACCTACTTGCAAAAAAATTACATTGTTTTAAATTCATCATTTTGAAAGAATTCATATTATACATGCATGTATATTATTACCTATGATAAGACCTTTCTGAATAAATCATGAATCTGTGACCTTGACCTTGAAGCTTAACCTACTTTTCAAAATGTTGCATTTGCTTATAACTTTGGATTGAGAAGAGATATGACTTTCACATTTGACATGTACAATACTCGTAAGAATTCAAGATGTTTCCCAGCATGCTATGATTTTTTACCCTATGATGTTGATCTTTTGCCTAATTTTCAAAATATTTAATTCTCCTAAAAGATGATCAGGCTACTGATTTGACCCCCCGGGGCAAAATCAAAATTCTGAAACGTTACTGCACATCTACATGACACCACCAACCATCTCCCAAAAGATGATTAGGCTGCTGAGTAAAATGTAGAAGGAGTTCAGGGAAGACGGGGCTTTTAGCATAAAAACGTCATTTTTTGACCCCCATTTGACCCCCCGGGGCCAAATCAAAATTCCGAAACCTTACTGCACATCTACATGATACCACCAACCATCTCCCAAAAGATGATTAGGCTGCTGAGTAAAATGTAGAAGGAGTTCAGGGAAGACGGGGCTTTTAGAATAAAAAACGTCATTTTTCGACCCCCATTAGACCCCCCGGGGCAAAATCAAAATTCCGAAACCTGTCTGCACATCAACATGACACCACCAACCATCTCCCAAAAGATGATTAGGCTGCTGAGTAAAATGTAGAAGGAGTGCTGGGAAGACGGGGCTTTTAGCATAAAAAACATCATCTTTCGACCCCCATTTGACCCCCCGGGGCCAAATCAAAATTCCGAAACCTTACTGCACATCTACATGACACCACCAACCATCTCCCAAGGAGGAGGAGTTCAGGGAAGAAAAGTGTGACAGACGGACGGACGGACATGAGTAACAACAATATAAAGGAACTTTCTTTAGAAAGTGCGGGTATAAATATAATTAAATATATTTAATTTGATTAACACATAGTCATTGTATTTTTAATTCAAATAAACATACCTTCTTGGTGTAGTCCTATAACCATCGCTGCTGACCAACTTGAATTTACTTCTTCGAGACCAGGGTATAGGTTACAGGAACATCTGTAGAATTGTGTCTGGAAGGACCAGATCCTGTATGGAGCTATAAAGCAAAAACAAATAATTAGTTTTA